TTTCAGCTCCACGATCAAATAAAAGCCTCCAGTGTTACCTCCTCTTTCTCTTCAATCCCAGAGCCGTGGAGACCAAACGTGCTGCTGGAGAGACTCTCCTCATCTTTCTTCTTCCTCTTTCTGAGGCCGAAGGAAAAGGTGGCGAATTTTTTGGGCTTCCGGAGATCCAACTCCGAGTAGCTGAACTCTTTACCCTGAAAGAGACGCGAAAATAAACATAAGATGCTGAATCTCAAGTTAGTTGTTGCACAAATAAACAAAATCACCACAAACCTGTACATTATAACTACAGCCTGATGTTTGAGCAAAGTCTCCCTAAATTCTGATGTTATTTCCATTTTTGTCAGAGTTAAGGTGGAAACAGGCTGGTTGTGTCGGAGCCTAAAGGCATTTTGGTTGATGTTTAAGGTCACAGGTGAGAAACAAAAAAGGTTTGAAATAATTTAAAGGAACATTCACAGTGAATTCAGGTTTACGTACATACAGTTCAACAGCGATGGATCAAGTTATTCAGTTTGTTTGATGCACTTAAAGCACATTTATGGATAATGAACTCCACAAATTCATCAATAACTTTAGTAATATGTGACTTTAATCACTGCTTCTGGACAACAAATAGATTCTGATGCAAGAATAAACCGCAACAAACTTTTATTGAAGTTCATTAATGTGTCTGTTTGTCTCAGAGTAAAAACATGAACCAAATTACTTTAAATTATTTGGAAAAAAACCCACTTTCTGGCACCTAAACTCGACTCGGCACCGCCGCCGGCTCTGCTACATGTGCTGCAGGAAATCCTCTGTAAACAAACAGGGAAACAAAAAGCTGCTCTGTTGGACAAACTGTGATGCTGCTGCTTTTAAATTCATCCTTTTCATGCGTTATTTCCCGCAGAAGACAGTTTTTACATCCCTGGATATCAACACGATGGCTGATGCCAATAACATCCGTCAGCGGACGTGTTGATCGGCTCTCGCTGTGATTGTTCGCTGTGATTTTTAGAGTTTTTAAGGCTTTTATCTGCACATAAAGGCCCTAATCTGTCATCTTAAGAACACAAGTTGCTGCAGCTCCCAAATCTCGGCTTTTATTAGCTAAAATATAAACCGACCACACACGTCTAATCTGTTTAAACCCTCTCTAAATGTTCATTCAAAGAGCTGCCAACACAGCGGTAGGAGTGGGAGTGTTGCACCACGCAGATAATCCGGTCCTCACACTTATAAACAAGGAGAGAAAAGAAGTTGACACGCCAGCTTCATTCCAAAGACCTAAAGCTGCTCCACCCTGGAATAAAATGAGAGACTAGTCCAACACGATTTACTAACCAGCGGTTTGGACAAGTTTACGAAACGTTAAACAGAAAAACGTCCTCTTTAATCACTCCGGCAGCTTCATGTCATCACAGCGATCCAACGAGAAGCAGCCAGAGGAGGATCATTCTCTTAAATGTGACGTTTCAGAATAAAAGTCTCGGAGTCTCCGAGGCTTCGTCACCAACAATTATACTGTAAAAAAGTGTTTTTGTGACTCAGAGACGTTTACGTTGCCGAGCCGTGATGACAGAGACGAATGGAACACAGTCCCGTCTGACAGATTCTCCTTCTGGGTGTGTCGGCCAGAAATTCCTGCGATGGATAGTTTGAAAAGTATGAAAAGCAAAAACCAAAACAATAGAAGTGGAGGCTTAGCCGAGGTGAAGTAACGATTCACCCAAAGCCCTTCAAGCTCCTTAAAGCAGGTGAGTTAGCAGCTAAAGCTCGCGTTAAATAAAAGGTGTGGATGCAGGTCGCACAAAACAAAACCAACGCAAACCCCTTTTTTTGTGATCTGCGTAAATCTGAAAGGTGTTTGAAAGTTTGTGTTTTTAACTTTAGTGAAGCAGAATCAGCCTCGTGTTGTTAAAGTTCAACATTTAGTCCCAAAATGCAAAACCAGAAACAAAATGACAGAAGATGGACAAAAAAAAAAACCAGACAAACCTGAGACTAAACTTCCCCAAAACGAGACGACGACGCCGATGAAAAAACATTTCAACAGAAAATGACACCAAACAAGAGAAACAAACACAAAATGAGAGAAGAGAGAAAAAAAAAACGACCACAAAGACACAAAACGACATAAACAAGACAGAAAACGATGCAAACGAGACGGAAAGTGACAAAAACGAGACAAAATTATATGAAAGAAACAAAACAACACAAAATGAACACAAACAAGAC